TCTGTCCATTCCTCTAGATCAAGTACTTAGTCCAACAAAACTCAAATATGGGACTTTATGAAAATTCTTTCCACTAAGCTTATATATTAAGAAGCAACAGACTATGGCCCATGACCCCAATCTAGTCTATTTTTGTGAATAAAGTTTTATTGAAACATAGTCACCCAACCATTTACATATTGTCCATGGTTGCTTCTGAACTACATCTGCAAACTTGACTAGCTACAACAGAGACCAAATGGATTAAAAAAACTAAAAAAAATTTTTTCCTTGTGTCCAAGAGAGAACAAAAAACACTCCCTCAATGGGGATGGTCATGCTGCAACCTCTTCTCCTCTTTCCGCCATCCTGTTGGAATTTGGGGCATGTATGCATATGTGCCCAGCATATTTTTCAGGCTGCCCAAGCCAGAATTTGGGCTATGGTCAACCATGTGGAATCTGGCTCCCTTAAACACCAGGCTATGGGGCTGGACCTAAAATAATTACTATCTGTTCCATCACAGAAAACATTTGCCGATCTCTGTTCCTTTTTTTTTGTTGGTGTCCTCTGTAGGCCAGGACCCTGTTCTGGTAATAAGATATAAGTCTGGAACAGTTAGGAAACATCTTACCAGCACATGGAAAGACCATGTAGCCAACACAAAAGAAATCTACTCCAAATATTATGTAAGTTTCCAGAGGGGTTGGAAACTATCATACTCCAGTATTTTATATTTACATAAGCTAATAAATCCAGGTCTTTCTCAAGCAAGCTTGAACTAGGTTTCTTTCACTTATACTAAAAGAATTAAAGAGTTCACTATATAGATAAAAATCTATAATTTTCACTGTAGAAACATAACTAATTTCTTCCCTCACTATCTGCCCATGAATAACATAAAAACATTCATCATATCTTTACACTAGAATGTTACTGTGCACTAAAAACTGTAATTTATGTAACAACTAAAATATTGCAAAATCAGCTGAGCTGGGGTTCATTCAGATTTTTTTTTCATCTAACCTTCCTGAGGTACTATTGAATAATGAAAGAATAAAAAGGACAGAAACTGAAATACCTACTGTTTAAAAGAAAGAAAAAAAAAAATTCAACACCAAATAATCCATCACAGCTCAAGTGAGATATAAGCATAAAAACAGAAGATAGGTCTCCCCATTAATAATCTCCCTGAAATAAAGGAAATACTCTCGGTTGACCCTATGGCCTGGTGATTAAGGAAGCTGAATCCCATATGGTCAACTGTGTGGTTTGAATCCCAGCCCTGGCAGCTTGAGATGTACACTGGGTACATTTGCATGCAGACCTAAAATCCTGATGGGATGGAGAAAAGGAGGAGAGGGATTCTGGCCTGACCATACCCCTTTGGGGGATGCTTTCTCCCTCCCTCTTTCTCTTTCTCTGTCTCTCTGGCAAGAGCAACTACCCTCTGACAAACTTTTTTTAAATAAATAAAAAGGGACATGATCTAAGACCAGCTAAAGAAAGCTCTAACTAGAATAAAGCAAAATTTGAGGGGACAGATTTAACTAATTAAGGAGATGGTGATTAAAACTGGAGCTGCTAATTGTCTACTGAGCATATCTCTCCGGCAATATTCCCCAGAGGCTTTCGGCAAAGGGAGACAACATTAAGCTTAGTATTAGTCAATTATGCAGTCATAACTTGTTTTGTATTTCTCTCTCTCTTTAGGCAATTAAAAAGCACGCAGAGGTATGGTTTTCAACGCAAGCTACATATTCCTATGAGGAAATCATTTCATATCATGTTTAGAAACAAAATGATCTGTGTTTAAGCTTTTTTTAATGTGTACATTCTGGAGCAAGAAGATGTTTCTTTCAACAGCATGCTTTCCATCTGCAGAGGCCAGATGTTAATCTACGGGAAAATTGAAGTGGTTAGTAAGAGACCAATTATATATAGACAGAGAACAAATATCAAGTGGTGGGGGGGATGGGAAGGCTTAAAATGGAGTTGATGAAATAGTTTTAGAACTCTAGCCTATTGAGAGGGAAGTGGTAGTGGTTTTTTGTGGTGTTGTTTTGTTTTTTGTTTCTGTTTTGTTTTGTTTGTTTTGTTTTTTAAGCCAAACTAAAAATAGTACGCCATGCCAGGATTTTTCTTTCCATTTTCTTCCCCATGAGTTGAAGAATCATTTGGAAGAATTGTGAAATGAAATGAGTGAGAATTCTTAGAAGGCAGTTTGGTATTTAATCTCTATTAGAGATGCAAACCTAACACAGGGTTAGACTCAGCGCTAGTGCTAGCCCTCCACCCGTAGAATCCTTTTTCATCTCATCTTCCTTGAAGTACTACTGGGCTATTGGAAAAGTCACGACACTTTTTTTTTTTTTTTTTGGCATAGAAAAAAATGTGTCGTGACTTTTCCTACGACCTAATTACATGCCCTGGGTGCTGGCAGGGCCCTTGGCTGTCGACGTGTAGCCTGGAGTTCCCACTTTACTTTCTGTGTTACAGATAGATGTGGCCGTATCATTTTGTTTGGGATGATGTTAGTGATGTGTGCACCTCTGGGTCCTTCAAAATGCTTGCCTTTGACACTCTCATCTCCATTTTTAGGCCAAAAAATGGCAATGATGAAAGCAACCTGGAGAGTCATGAGGGTGAGGATGGCTTTACAGGCATTAGCTAAGTGCTTTACAGGCATTAGCTCTTTTCACTCACTGAAACCTGTTTGCTCTTTAAAACTGAGCACAAAACCTCCAGAAAACAAGCACGCAATATCAGATGGTGTTTATTGGGTTTCCATTACAAATGGCACTCCAATAGCTCTGCTAGGGATAGACTGCTCACTTCTGGGAGCTAGGGAGAAATCCCCTTCTATCTTCCTTAAGCCATTGTTAGTTTGGAACCTCTCTGCTACAGCAACCTAAACCTATACCCTACTAAAACAGTCACCTGCTAGCTGTGCAACTTGGGGTAAGTTGTTTAACCTCTAAGCCTCAGTTTCTGCACCTATAAAATGGAACCATGAGGGACCAGCAGTTAGCGTAATGTCTACATAGCTGGACTCCTACGTAATTGACCGCGGTTCGAGTCCCAGATCTGGTGGCTTAAACTCATGCCAGGCATGTGTGTGTGCATACCCAAGATCCCAAGAGGAGAATGGAGGAGAAGAGATTGTAGCATGGCCATCTCCCCTGGGGAGTGATTTCTCACTTTCTGTCTCTCTGTCTCTTTCTGGCGAGTGCATGTGCCCTATAGCAAAAACCTCTCCAGAAAAAGAAAAAAAAAAGGGAAAAAAAATGGGACCAGGAAACTTATTTCATAAGATAAATAATTGAGTTAAGAGATATAACATGTCTAATCTTGTGCCTAACAAGTCCCCAACTAATAATAGATGATGCTAGCAAAGACGAGGAACATCTAAGAAAGTGCTTTCTAAGACCTCTAACATCAAGCAGCTATGGTACCCACGAAGCCTTAAAGATAAAAATGCCTATCAGCATTTGATAGATTCTGTATGTTAAAATGCACTCAGAAAAAAAATTAGGGCTACCTTACATTTTAGCCCAGAAGAATTAAGATTAAATCATGTTTAATTATAGTTTAGCAAACTGTGCCTAAATCTTCAAGTAGTTCTTTAAATCTTACTCTGTATTATTACATGTTAGGCAAATACTAGTTATTTGCTCATGCTTAGTTGACTGAATTGAGTCCCATGCTTGTATAAAACATAGATAAGGGGACCAGCCGGTGGCACAGTCATTAAGGTGCTGGACTCCTACAGGGCCGACCACGGTTCAAGTCCCAGACCTAGCAGCTTGCTTTCTCACTTGGGACCAGCAGATGGCATAATGGCTAAGTTGACCATAGTTGGAGTTCCGGACCCAGTGGCTTAAACTCATGTCAGGCCAGTGTGCAGGGGTACTCAAGATCCAGAGAGGAGAACGGAGACAAGATTGCAATGTGGCCATCCCCTCTGTGCAGGGGTGATTTCTTGCTTTCTATCTCTCTGGTGGTGAGCACATGTGCCCTATAGCAAAAACCTCTCCAAAAAAAAAAAAAAAAGACAGTTGAGGAGAAAGATATATTCATCTATACTGCCAGATCACCACCACTCCAGGCTCAGAAGGAGACATATGAATGAACTGGATTTGTCTTCACTGGCCATTAAGCTTTAGGCACTGAGTTCTACAGTCAGTGGGGCAGTAGTCTGCTTTTCCTTTGCACACATTTTGTCCCTTGGGGCAGTACCTTTGTGAGTATTAATTACTGGCATCACGGATCTTCTTTTGGTGGAACACAGTTAGGCTGCACCTTTAGGATTTGTCTAGCCTTGAGATACTGCAGTTGAGATTCTTGGCTCTATGAAAGAGCACTACTCTGATACTGGGGTCTGCCCCACGGCTCTCGAATGACGCCTACAAGCCATGAGATGCAGAAAAACCACAAGATTACATCACCCAGCTGAGGCTAGCATCTCCGAAATGGGAGCATGAATCACATCCCAGGCTTAACTCCTTCCGTCCACCCTGATAATGTCTCACTGCTTATAACGGGATATGAGTTACTACGATGACGGGAAGATGAACCAGACAACAATGATAAAAGATGCTGATAACCTATATGCACTGTTATGACCATTTATCCCATTAAGATGGGTTTGAGAGAATGCTCCTACTCCATGGAGTCATCCTATAGTCAATAAGCATTCATTGAGCCAGACTGCATTCTGCCTCCTCCAAGGAGGCAGTATGCCTGCCTCTACAAAGGGGGCATTCTGGTGCGGTATGCAGAACACATGCCTGAGGACTGAGAGGCCAAAGCTCCGGAACTACATGCACACAAACGCAACCTCAACATCCACAAACATCGACCTGAGATTTAAAAGATTTTAAAAACTACCTCTGGTACACTGATTGCAAGGGCTCAAGGCTTTGGAACAACAGCAAAAATCACAGCACCAGCAAAGCAATAAACAACTCAAGACCTTTATTCTTGCTCTACTTCCCTGAATTGTTACTTTTGTTACTTACAGGTTCCCGGCCATCCATGGCTTCCATCCAGAGCCTCCGGTCCTCTTCCGACAACGCCTGCATGGTGATAACCCCTGGCCTGTGGATAAAGGGACATGGATATGAACTCAGTGCCACATGTAGAGAGACTGACAAAGGTAAACCTTAAAGAAACACCTACCCACCAGACTGAGTGGTTGCTAGGGTAAATGACATGAAAAGAGGAATGACCTCTGGTTTTTCCAAGCCATCTTCTCATCTCAAAAAGCAAAGCCACCTCCAGACCAGCAGGTGGTATAGTGGTTGAAGCACTGGACTCCCACATGGCCAACTGCAGTTCAAGTCCCAGACCCGGTGGCTTAAAATTCACACCAGGCACATATGCATGCATACATGCCCGAAATTCCAAAAAAGAGAATGGAGGATAAAGGACTGCTATATGGCCATCTCCCCAAGGAGTGATTTCTCACTTTCTCTGTCTCTCCAGTGAGTGCAAGCACCCTATCGCCAAAAACAAACAAACAAACAAACAAAAACCTTTAAAAATAAAGAGGGACCAGCAGTTAGCGTAATGGCTGTCACTGGACTCCCACGTAGTTGACCGTGGTTCGAGTCCTGGACCCGGCAGCTTAAACTCATGCCGGGCGCGTGTGCGTGCGTGCCCAAGATCCTGAGAGGAGAATGGAGGAGAAGGGATTGTGGCGTGGCCATTCCCCCGGGGGGTGATTTCTCGCTTTCTGTCTCTCTGTCTCTGTCTTTCTGGAGAGTGCATGCTCCCTATAGCAAAAACCTCTCCAAAAAATAAACTAATTAATTAATTAAAATAAATTAAAGAAAGAAAGAAAACAGAGCTTCCTCCCTGAATCCCTCTCCATAAGCCTATCTCCCTTAGAGAGGCAGAAAGAAACCTAGAAGATATGACCCATTTTACAGGTAAGGGACACAGAGGAGTAAAGTGATTTCCTTTAGACCTTCCTTTAGACCTTTCTAAATGTTTACTTTACTCAAGAGAGAAATACAATAAATGTGTACTGAAGTGGATGAAATGATTGGACTCGAGATAAAAGGAGGGAAAAACATCCAAGCGGGAAGCATGCTGGTGTCCTAGTATTTAGCCCAAGGCTTTTAAACTGTTTTTTTTGACATGCAGGAGCTTTATAGAGGTAATTAGCTTTGTAGTTATGATTCTATTAAATGTACATCGTATTTTATTTTAATGAATACTTAACCATGTCAGGTGCTAAGTGCTTTACAGGCATTAGCTCTTTTCACTCACTGAAACGTGTTTGCTCTTTAAAACTGAGCACAAAACTTCCAGAAAACATGCATGCAGTATCAGATGGTGTTCATTGGGTTTCCATTACAAATGGCACTCCAAGAGACTGTGCCAGAAAAATGACCTTGGGAGAAGCAGCTGAAAGCTCTCTACTCTCACTTATGCAGGATTTCTTCACTTAGGGTCTACAGATTGGTCCCAGAGTGTCCCTAAACCACCCACAGCTCCAAATTATGTGATGTTTCTGTAGAAGTAATTCAAACTGTCCATTAGATTCTCAATGCAGCCAGCAATCCACAAAAAAGTTAAGAATTGCTGATTAAAACCTTTACCTTTAAAGTCTGAGAAATCCTAAAATGGAAGAAAAGGTTCACTGACCAAGAAGTCAAGTCCTGCTGCCATCTGAACCCATGCTCATGATCCCACAGCAACACAGCCCTAAAAACAACATCAAGCTCTTGGCAGCAATACACGCTGTACAAGCCTAGGCCTCACAAACACCCAAGCCTATTATCTCCGCTCCTAGCTTATTTCTGTAGCCCCAATGAATATGCTAGACCTATTTATGTTTAACACTTTTGGATTATTTTAGGCTTTTGTTGTTTTGTTTTCCACAGGGAATATGCATACACTGGAGAGAGAAAGAGAGAACCAGAGAGGGGGAAAGTGAGAAATAACCCCCTAGCAGGGATGGCCACACAGCAGTCCCTTCTCCTCCATTCTCTTCTTTTGGGCACATGCACACACGCACCTAGCATGATTTTCAAGCCACCAGCACCAGGACTCAAACCGTGGTCAATTATGTGGGAGTCCAGAGCCTTAACCACCATGCCACCTGCTGGCCCCTGTTTTACATATTTTTAAAATCACACTTGCTTATTTTCATTGATCATCCCTCAACATCTCCTAAGATAAAAACAAAGACATGAGCGTGTAAGTACAGAGGATTTGTAGGTATGAGTGGTATCGGGGTAGAGGTATGAAGGTGTAAGGGTATGAATGAGTAGGCTTAACATGTGTGTTTATGTGTGAAAAAGAGTGCAAGACACAGAAAAGCAGAGGCTGTAGGAGTGGGTGTGATGAGGAAGATGGGTAGGTGTGCTGAAGCTGGGGTTGGGGCGACTCTGATATCTGACAGCGTGGTCACTGCCATGAAGGGTACTCTGGACACTGGCATCATAGCACAAAGATGACTCAGAAGATGGAATAACTCCTTTCCACAAGCACCTTCTCTCTCTTGTCTTCTCAAAAATTCTCTTTTTTGATCCCAGTGCCCATTTCCTACCATCAGTCCATTCAATCAACATGCCAGACTCACTGCGTCTGCAGGCTGTGCTCACAGCTATGGCTCTACACAGCTGACCCTGTGTCTGCAGAGAATAGTGGATCAACTCTACCCTTTCAACTTTCAGAAAGCCAAGCCCAAAGTTGTAATGAGTTTGAAACAGTTTCTTGAGCTAGTCTACTGGACCAGATCTCTGAGTGCTGGTCAAGGTGCTGTAATCATGCCTTCTGCTCCAGAATCAAGCATTCCCTTAAAATGGAGATTCCCAGTCCAGTCCACCTACTGAGTCTGCACTGTTGGGCTGAGCATCAGAACAGGATTTTCACCAACCGTCCCGGTGATTCTGAAGTACAGTTAGATCTAAGGCCCATGCCCGTGATCTGGGCTCACTCCATCCTCATTCTTTTCCTTCTTGTCCCCCCTACATTAAAGAACAAAGGCACCCTCCTCTCGACACTAGGGTCAAGGAGCCCATGTGTTTCTGGTTCATTTCCTGCTAAGGACTCACCAGCAAAGAGTGAGATCATAAGAGGTGCCTACACACCAAGATCTCAGGGGCCTACGGATGCCACATCAACTTCATGGCGCACAGTGAGAAATTTCCACCCAGAGCCACAAAGAGGAAGTTCAGACACTCTCAGAGGTTGTGAAGGGTGGGCCACTTGGTCTTGGTAACCAGGAAAGTCAACAGGATTTGTTTTCATTTCAAGAAAAAAAATCAAAATAAAGTTCTTTCCCACATGTCATCTTGTTCCCTTTGTGGGGCAGTGCTGGGGAGACAGGGGGCAGATGGTGGCTGGCAGATAAAGGGGACTTAATACACTTAGTTCTAATCCTATCAAGCCACATTCAGATACTTTTCTTCTCAGTACATACATCTGGGTCACAGTATGGATCACCATCCTTTCTAGGTATCTGGTAAATGTTCATTTGGCTCCAAGTTGCTTATCCTTTATGACCATTAAAACCATTATTACATAAATCTCTTATCTATGTGCAAATTTCTTAGAGCTAAAGTAAAACAGTCAATTTTCTTTATTTTGGAATCAAACAACAACTTTCTATATTTATATCCTCTTTCTTTCAAAACAGGCAAAACCCTCAGTGACTCTACACTACCCTTGTCAGTCCCTATAAGATAACAAATTCAGATTTTCTCTTACAGGGCTTCAATTTAGTTCACATCTGAACTGCATATGGCTTTTTAATGGCAAAAAATGATGGGGGAGGAGAAAAAGGAAGAGACAGAGGAAGGAAGAGATGTGGAATGAAGAAGGAAAAATGTAAAACAATGAGAGAAAGGGAGTAAATAATGAGTTCTTTCTAGCATTATAGAAAAATTGTGATCCTGGGGGCCAGCATATGGCATGGTGGATAAGGAGGCTGGATTCCTACATGGCTCACTGTGGTCTGAGTCCTGGGCCCAATGGCTTGAAACTCAACTCCAGGCATGTGTGCAGGCAAGCCCAAAATGCCGAGAGGAAAATAGAGAAGGGATTGTGGTATGGCCATCCCCTCTGGGGGGTGATTTCTTATTTTCCCTTTCTCTATCTCTGTCTGTCTCTCTCATCTCCATTGCATGAATGCACCCTATGGCAAAAAATCTAAAAAATAAACAATCGTGATCCTCTTAGCCGCAACAATAAAAGAACAACAATCATAACCTAGCGCTACTTGCCAGTTGCTGTGCTCTACACTATATATAAATTAATTAATTTAATCTTCACAGCTATAGCATGAGGTAGGTGTATTCTTGGCTCACAAGGGAAAATACCTTGTCCCCAATTAGAGAGCTAGCGAGTTACAGTCACGATGTGAATACAAGCAGTGTAGTTCTTAACCCTTGCACACAATGCCTCAACAAATGTGAAGGTGCATAAACCTCAGAGAGCTCATGTTGATCCCCCAAGTCCTCCAGTGGCAAAATTGAAAAGAAGTAAGACACAGAAGACTACAATGATTCCATGGATATGATGTTCAAACACTTGGCAAAACTCACCTATGGTGACTTCAGAAGAGTGATTATGTTTGAGGAAGGGGTATGGGCAATGACTAAGAAGGGACACAAGGGAGCTTTCTGGGATGATAGAAATGTTACACACACACACACACACACACACACACACACAGATGTAGTTCTATAAATCAGTGCCGGATGTGGGTCAAGTGATTCTATAAATATATATTTATTTTATATATATATATATATGTGTGTGTGTGTGTGTGTGTATTAGTTTTTGCTATGTGATATGTCCACCTGCCAAAGAAAGACAGAGAGGGGAAGAGAAGGGAGAAGGAAGGAGTTAGAAAGCACCCCTCCAGGGGGGATGATTAAGCTGAAATCCCTTCTCCTCCACTCTCCTCTCAGGATTTGGGCACGCAGGCACAAGCATATGGCATGTTTTCCAAGCAACCAAGTTGGGACTCGAAATACTCACTCAGCCATGCAGGATCCAGCCGCCTTAACCACCAAGCCATCTGACTGGCCTGATTCTATCTCTTGACCTGGGTGATGACACAGATCTGTGTGTGTATGCAT